GATCCGCAATGTCCTGCGACTGTTAAAAACACAAGTTGATCACTTAATTTTAATAGTGTGTGACCCCCTTATGATATTCATGAATACAAACCCTATTAATATTGAAAAATTTTTCTTGTTGTTGATAGATATAATGTGGATATGACAAAATTTCCAACAATTCAAAAAATAGTAAATAATTTAAATAAATTGGAAGAATTTAGAAAAAGTCATCCTAATAATCAAGTAGATTGTCCTGAGAATATGAAATTCAAATAAGGACCAATTATAAATAAATAAATACAATTAATAAATGACAAATAAAAATACAATCTATAAATTATTTTGTTTCATGCCAATTCTCATTCCTACTTTGACCAATGTTTCTAATTTATTGATAGAATTATTAATCAAATCTTCATCAAATTTAATTTGAACCTTCTTTTCCCACAATATTATTACTGTACTGCCACCATACGCAAAATATCCTAATTCATCACCTTTACCAATTACATCACCTTTATTGATTGTATATCTAATTGATCCAACTAATAAAGCACCAACGGGAATAAATGCCAATTTGGTTTTTGGTGTGATTGATGATGTTGACTCAAGCAATAATAAAGATCTAGCATTCTCAGTTAAAACATCTAATTCTTCATTCACAGCCATTGGATTAACTGCATATGTAAATTTTATATATTAACGTAAATTTATCTTTCCTTTAAAATATGTTCTTTTATTTATATAAGCCTTTACCTGTATAATACTTTCCATTAATTGGCTTTATTTCAATAATTTTTCCTGCAATCGGCGAATGAAATCTGTGATAATCTTGTGGTGCTAATCTAAATATTGCAATTGATCCACCTTCAAAAGATTTTGCCTAATAATCGATTTAAAACAATTTTAAATTAATTTAAAAATCTTAAAAGCTTTAAAATTTGTAATTTAAAGTCTTACTAATTCACCATCATTTAATAAATTTTCTATGGTAAATCTTTTGCCTTTAACCCTAAAAATTATATGTATATTTAATATAATTAATAATAAATATATACATAATCAATTTTAATATTAGAGTAATTAATTACCAATATTTTTTTGCAAAATCAATATTTTGATAAACAGTTACTCTTGAATCAGTTGGTGAAGTGTAAATATTATCATCACCCATAGAATCAATCAATCTTGAATTTGGTTTTAACCTTCTATAAAAAAATTCATTAAAAGTTTTATATTTATTCATATCAGGTTCCAATAATTCATTTAAATCAATTTTGTAGTGCTTGACAAATTTCGGTATATTGTGTACTGAATGAAATGAATCAAAATATTTTCCTTGTCTTTTTGTTTCAGTCTCAAATAAATCTTCAATTGCTTTAAACTCAACAACTATAATTTGTTATATTAATATATAAATTATAATAAACAAAAAGAATAATTTTTTCTCAAAAATAAAAATAATAAAAATTTACCTTTTTCCTTGAATTTACCAAAAAATAATAAATGCATCCCAATTCTAACATAAATTGGCATGTTTTCCCAATATTTTTCTCCTGTCTATAAAAATCTTTAAACTATAAACCACAAATTTATAAAATTATAACATAATGATTGTAACAAATGATTATTCACCTTTCTATCAATAAAAAAATTGCCAAAATGTTGTTTTGCAGCCAGGGATTGTAGTGCTGATAAGAGATATCTATTAATCCATTTCCAATTTAGAACAGCTAAACTTGATGATGGTGAAAATATTAAGATATGATCTATCAATTATAATTATAATTGTTATATAAATTATAATTATAATTGTTATTATAAATTATAATTATAATTGTTATTATAAATTATATTATTAATTAATTAAATTACTGATAATCAACTCACCATTCCCACTATTACGATTTGTTGTGGCCGTTACAATAGTTTTCAATGCCTAAAATAAATAAATAAATAAATATTTATTTACAAAAAATTATATTATAATAACACACATACACAACTTAAAGATTCACAATCAGCATTTGAATGATATTTTTTAATAGAATTTAAACTAGTATCAACTGTTTTATGGTCTGTATCAATATTATTTTTATTTTTATTTCTTTCTTCCTCTTCATTATTAGTCATTTTTATTTGCATCTATCTATAACAGTCAACAATGTAAGATCTTGCTAATAAAAGTGATCATCAATATTTTAATGTAAATGTACAGACAAGTCAGACCTCCATAATAATCATAATAATAAGGAAGTCGATATTTATAATTGCAGATCTCGCGTGACATTTTAAGACTTTCTGGTGTGACATTAAATTGGGAATGATACAGAAAGATTAGCATGGCCCCCGTACAAGGATGATACATTCAATGGATTTTTGCACCACCATGTGGCAAATATTCTATGAAAAATTTTTTGTTACACGAAACTTTGTCTCAATAACAAAATTTGGAATTTTCAAATGCCAATTTTTAGATTCACAAATGAATCAGAGAAATGATCAACATTTTAATATAAAATTTGGGTGCTAATTGTTATTACATAATAAAATAAGAAAATTCCCAAACCTCACCATCCTCACATGTTAACTCTCATGTATGCACAAAAAGTATAAAGAACAACCTTAGAATTCTTTCAAGATCGTTGAATACTACTTCAAAATTCTTTTGCAGTTATTTTATTGACTTGACTTATAACAACATGTGGTTCTTTTGGGTAAAATAAAAGTTTTTTTTGTTGATAAACCAATAAAAAAAAAAGTATAGCTCTGGTCAGAATTAAAGCTCCTAACAGGTCGGGTTTGGGTTGATGCTTAACCCACCTGAACCTGACCCGTTAGGAGCTTTACACATGATAGGAGTCCTCAATCTACAATTCAAACTTATGTTGTCAATAGATGGTTCAAAAAAATCTCTGCTGATCATACCTTGCAGGGAAGCATTATTGAGGGTAAATCCTAAAGTGTTGATAAACAATGTAGGACAAACAAAATGTGAGAAAAGATTATTGGAGTGTCCATGGCAAATGGAATTGTATAGAATGATCAATAGTTGTCTTCCTGATGAAATGCATCTATTGACAGATGTTGGACATATGTACAAAATGAATGGACTTTTAGATTTTTACATTGCTAAAATGGAATGGGAGATTGAGCTACTCATTAATGGGATTAAAATGAAAGAGCATCATCAACATTTCCAAGAGGATATGTAAGTGTATATGTAGTATTGTGTTAGACTATTTGGTTTTACCTGCTAATATATATAATATATACTTACCTTTTATTAAGGTGGAAGGTATGAACAAATACCAATAAAATCACACCTTCTTATTGACTTCTGTGAAACAAAAAGTGTGCAAAAGCCCTATGTCAATACATGGCACTAGTGATGTTAGCCGGCTAATAATCTGCATACATAATTTCTAAATTTGGTAATAGATTTCCGTATTACCTTCTGGTTATAGAATTAGAATTACCAATGGCAAATGGAATTGTATAGAATGATCAATAGTTGTCTTCCTGATGAAATGCATCTATTGACAGATGTTGGACATATGTACAAAATGAATGGACTTTTAGATTTTTACATTGCTAAAATGGAATGGGAGATTGAGCTACTCATTAATGGGATTAAAATGAAAGAGCATCATCAACATTTCCAAGAGGATATGTAAGTGTATATGTAGTATTGTGTTAGACTATTTGGTTTTACCTGCTAATATATATAATATATACTTACCTTTTATTAAGGTGGAAGGTATGAACAAATACCAATAAAATCACACCTTCTTATTGACTTCTGTGAAACAAAAAGTGTGCAAAAGCCCTATGTCAATACATGGCACTAGTGATGTTAGCCGGCTAATAATCTGCATACATAATTTCTAAATTTGGTAATAGATTTCCGTATTACCTTCTGGTTATAGAAATAGAATTACCAATTTAGGTAGTAACGGCTTAGCAGGCTAAGGATTTTTAAACGGCTAACATCACTACTTGATTAGTGAACATTGAATATGGACATGGCCAACAGGGATGATAAAGCTCTGAATACAATAAGGAAAAAAGATGTTTTGATATATCTCAATATGGTCAAATGTTATATTATTTTATGATAGGTACAACTGCTGAGATAATAAAATATTAACATCAGATATTTTATTACAAATAAAAAATTATTAAATCACACATTATTAAAATAGTAATGATGACCCTTCACATAATGAAATATCACGTGAGACCGATTTATCGTGATTCATTTAATTATACTTGGGTCAAGTGATTGACCAACTTAATATTAGCACTTATCGCGACTTTATATAGATCGACCGACTATCGAATTTTTCTAAATAGTAAAAAAAAGAGGTGAAACTTTTTGGCCGAGTTAGGCCAAAACCGACTTATCGAGTTTACATATGTACATAAGGCTAAATTATTTTCTTGCCGTGTTTACAGTTTACAGAGGCAGTTTCAAAAGTTGCGATCAGAATCCTTAAACCACAAAAGTCAGGTCTTTTACAAATCTATATTTTTAAAGCCCTTATGTGCTAATAAATTTTTGTTTTGATAATATTGTAACTTCAAAATCATCCAGTTGGAGAAGAATTGCGACAGGAGCAGGGATGATTTTTCAGGCGATGGTATGTATATTGAAGACTCCAATAGTTGATAGATAGGAGAACAACGCATAATCATTAATCATCAAATTTTCATGTATTCTTTTCGGAAATTAAAAGCTAGCGACCCTAGTAAAATAATCACATTAATATAATAAATAATATAATCCCAAGATACCAGACTTTTTAGAAGTTGCTGGCACAATTCAGGCAGGAGCCTTTATTTGAAGAAAATTCTGGTTTTATAAACGACCCAAAAAGGTTCAGTATGACTTAAGTTATTTTATTTGGGTCACGACTCTGAGCAAAGGATGGGTGTGCAATTAATTAATGAAACCTTCGATACTTGTCGTAACATGAATTTTTATACAAACAGTTGTGTGAGGTTGAGCTGTTCCTGCTACAAGCACATGCATGGTACTGCATCTTTTTATTAGCATTATTGTATTGTTCATTTCATTCAAATAGAAACAAACCTTGGTGTTTTTATCATGGACCTTCGTTTTGCCGTGCCCCGGAGTTACTTGACCTTCCCATTCCTTATACTCTATCCGTATATGGAAATAATTATTCTGAACTTGTTCACAACTTTTAGAAAATTCAATTTGGTTTTTCTGAAACAGTAAGAAAAGTGCGCAGTATAAGCTGAATTTAATAAATCAGCAACGTCAAAATCCAATCATTATCCAACACGTATATGATTTACCTGATTTTTTAAGCCACAAAAAATTTTTTACTACTATATTAATAGAACAATTATAATAATTGCGAATAAATGATCAATTAAGTAATAAAAAAAGATATAAATAAATTTTATTATAGTAATTTACTACCCAGAGATTACGTGTAGGAATTGGCATTGCTAAAGATACTTGGCGTAAATGATTGGACACTTGACCAATTAGGCGCTGGTAGCTACCATTTTCCGCAAATACCGTCGTAAATAAAGAGAATGATTTTAATCAGATGAAGCTCGATATATCAAAGCGGGTTTTAACAATTATTTTCAGATTTAATATTATTTGATAATAAAAAAGTTTCAAGTTATACGCCATTATATTATTTGTTTGATTTAAATGCAAATAAAATGATTTTATTTCTTTATTTATTATTGCTAATAATGTCAATCAATGTTGTTGTTATATACAAATATCAATTATTTAAAATAAAAATAATTAAACAAAAAAAGAAACATTTTTTTTCAATTTTGTTTTTCCTTCTCGCCTTCCTTTAGTTTAATATCTCGTGAAAAATTGTTTGAATTGTTAATTTTCTTTTTTTTTAAAAAAATGTTGTATATATTCCTTACAAAAGTAAATAGTGTCACAAAATAACAGTGATAGTGCCCAAACCTTATTATTATTATTATTATTATTATTATTATTATTATTACTACTGTTACATTTTCCAAGTTTATATTTGTCGTCTAGCGTCACCCTTTATTGATCCTTATTTCATAACTTGTAGCTATAAAGGTGATTGCTGTTGTTTGTAAAGTAGTGTGGTTCTGGTAGCTGAGGTAATCGTGACGATGATTTCTTTAATTAATTATAACCAATCTAAAAATTATTATTATTATTATTATTATTATTATTATTATTATTATTACTATCATCATATCATCCTTTATTTTTTTATTGTTGTTAATGCGTTTGAAATTCCAAATATTCCATCCATTCTAGTAATCTTTTTATGAAGAAATTGCTTAATATGTTAATTACATCATAATAATAGTAGTAATAGTAATAAAATAATAATAATCATAATAATAAAATAAAATAATTATGTATTATAATAAAAATCAATTATTTGAATAATTACTTAATTAAATAAGTTTGCATTGGTGGGTAGGTGAATATAAAAGTGAGTAAATTGTGTATGTAAAATAAAATTGGGGTTTTTTTATTTGAAAATAAAAATAAAATAAAAAGATTATATAAACAATTAAATAATAATAAAAGTATAATATGATAATGATAATATTTAATATTATGAAAGAAAAATAAATGCTATATATATATATATATTAATATATAAATAAAATAAAATGAAATAAAATATAAATTGAAGTGATGCTAATTCTCTCAATGATGAAATAAAATCTCTTCATTTTCACTCTATATTAATATCCCCACACAAATTTGTGATATTATTATAATACATTAAAAAAAAAATAAAAATAAATTAAATAAATTAATTATTAAATTAAATAACAATAATGATCTCGCTACAAGTAAAAATTTATAGACGCTAAAGATATTATATTTTTACTCGGGATTTTCTTTTTTTGTGTGTCAGAGAATAAATAAAGATAATCAGTATATATTAAAATATTATGAAGAAAAAGGATTAATAGCATTACTATTACTATTACTATTACTATTACTATTACTATTACTATTACTATTACTATTATTAATATCATTACCACTATTACTATTGCGATTTTCTGAGTATTTAGGTCTTTTACTTGGTAAAGTTCTACTTCTTACAAGACCAGTACTTTCAGATGGTTGAATTTCACTAGATGATGATGGTAAAGTAGTGTCTAATGCGAATGGTTCATGTGATAGACTTTGTCTTCTTAAAGATATTCGTTTTACCGGTGGGTTATTTAAATCAAATGGTTCTTTTAAATTTTGCGGTGAATTATCTCCTATTACGTTGTTAGGTTGAAAAGGGTTGTAAATGTGCAGTCCATTGATGGTCTATTGGTTGTCCATTGGGTCCATTTAATCATATTTAGTATTTTATTAATGGCAATGGGACCAGTCCAAAATTATCTGTTCTCAATGGACCAGTTAATTTGCCAACCCTGGGTTGAAAGCTCAGTTAAAAGCCCAAAAATCAATTAATCAACAATTGGAAAGAAAGGGAGATCCGGATGAAAGTGCCATATTTTTAAACATTAATATGTATATGCTTTTGATAAATTACAAGTGTTATTATTATTTCTTATGAATTATGTTTCTACAATAATCAGGAATCATTCTTTACGGATCTAAAATATGATGGTTTATACCGCTCCTGTTCATTCCTCAGAATCAAACTGGTAGTTGACAAGACTGCAATTCCATTAGCAGAATTCGCAATCAGCCATTTTGTTGCTTTGGAGGTATATGACGCATTTTCTTTAAGCTTATAATGATACATTTTTGTTCACAAATTTCACTCTTTGCAAATGGCAGGAACATTTTGAAAGGATTGCAAAGAACTTTAAATATCGAAGTGGTCAATTCACACCACCTACACAGATGTCTTTTATGTGCAAACTTCCTGATACGCCACAGGTAAAAATGTTACTTAAATAGAACTGGTCAAGATTGGAAGTTTAGAATTTACATTTGAATTCGGGTTTAATTTCACTTATAACACATGTGCCATCATTAATATAACTTGAATATTCAAAATTATAATTTTATTCAAATATAAAATACTGTTATCTTTGTTGTCAATCTTAAATATATATATAGTACATAAAAGGTAATTTATAATAATAATAAAAATACATTATCACGTATGTTTTATAATTTTATTTCTCATGTACAATATATATATAAGGAATTAACCTCTTTTCTGGTTTAACTACTTTCGAAACTAACCCGAAACTCCTAAACTAATTTTATGACCATATGACGTGTAGCCATGATTATCGAAATCATTTTTCTCTTCAAGCGACCAACATTTTATCAAAAGTTCATTTTATTTTGATATTATTGTCCTGACAATTAATTAAAAATTTCCTATTTGTTTTAATTTAATTTTTTCTCTTTCTTAAGAATATATATAAATTTTTTTTTAATCACAATAATGTCAAACAATACTGATGTAGGTATAAATAGTTCATCAAGTTTCAAAAAACTTGGTGGACGACCAAAAAATGCAGTTTGGAATTAGTGTTGGTTTCCAAAATTCGAGAGTTTCGCAACTGTGCGAAAGTCAAAAGGTTTCGCCATAAGTCGAAACTAGTTTTGATTTTTGACTATTGACTTTTGATTTAGTTTTGACATATAACTTTTAATTTTAGTTTTTACTTTCACCTCTTCAAAATAGTTTTGGCAACCAACACTATTTGGAATGCTATCATTCAAAACATCCAGGACATTTTGGAGCCAAATGCAAGCATGTAATTGTAAATGGAGTAATAGAGTTGTTAATAAACTGCAAAGTCCATTTAGCACATGAATGTGAATATATAAAAAAAGATATATGTATATTGTTGCAGAAAGAGATGGTGTAAGTGAATCTTTAGAAAATGCAGCATATAAAGCAAATACACAATCACTTGCTAATTTTTGGGATAAAGATGAGATATTATTTAAAAATGTGCAGGAATTATTGATCATTCAATTTTAAAGACTTTTGTGGTATCTAGAAGTATTTGATTCTGATTCAATTCCTGAAATTTCACCTCCATCAAATTATGTAAAAAAATTATTATTTTTTAAAAAAACTTTATTAATAATGAGTGATAATAATAATAAGCAAAAATAAAAAATAAAGATTAAGAATATTTGTTTGGTTTGGGATTTTTAGGAGTTTCGAAACAGTTTAGGAGTTTCTAACAGTTTAGTAATTCACGTTCATTTTTTAAACCAGTTTAGAACGGTTTTAATTTCGAATAATTCTAAACTCATGAGTTTCGGAAGGCAAAATAATCAATTAACTTGTTTTACGAATTTGCTGCCTCTTACTTGTACCTAGAAAGCTCAGCAAATCTGCAAGCACGTTAAAGCATGTATCGATGCAGAAGGAGAACACATAGAATATTAATTTAATAAAAAAAATGTAACTTTAGTGTTTGTCTTTGTATATACAAAAAAAAAATTTTTTTGGTTAATAATAAATTATATGTGTAATCTCAAAAAATCTGTCCGCCATTCTTTTCGCCGGGGACTGTAAAGTTTCTATTCGAATTATTTGTTTTATTCGTTATGAGTGTTCAAATTACATTGAAAGTTTATTCGAATAATTCAAATAAGAATATTACAAATAGAAACTCTGGTTATGTATTACTCTGATAACCAAATAAGCAATTAAACCCTACCTTTTAATTTCCGACTAAAAAGTGTTTTTATTAAACAAAAGAATCAATTTTATTATTTAATTTGTAAAATGTTTGTTCAGAAATGAATTAATTAACAATTTTCTGCCTCTATTCTTATGAGCAAGACACTGAAATGTTAGGTAGCTAATTAGTTAGTTAAGTAATTACTAACTAATAGTAGATAATAGTCATTAGTAATTTTCCGCTTGGTCAGAAGCCATAATGATTTTTGTTAATCTTTAAAAAATCAATTTCTTCCACTAATTTATAATTTAAAAAAATTTTTTTTTAACAACTTTATCGAAGTGCCGGCCAACCATATTGCGAACATGTGGCCCAACATGTGGCCCAATATCTTCAGTCACAACCTAATTATGGCACTATGTCATTACGACCTGATTATGACAATTTGAAAATGGATGTCTAAAATATATTATGGCATTACGATATTACGGCATGTCAAATGTCATGATAGTTTGGCTGCAAAGGTATTGTGGGTGTGATGTAGAGAGTTTATCAATGATCTTGAAGGAAGGGAAGAGGGATCTTGATTTTTCAAGTTGGTAATGGAATGGTTTATGATGAAGTCGATTGTTTTTGAGTAAAGGAAACTGATGAATCTTAAATAATTTATATTTTATCCATCTTTTAAGTCGGTTATTGTTATGTGATTCTGACAATTTGTAACGTATTACCGTGCAGCAGAGGAGAGAAGTTGTCCTAATGATTTTTTATTTGTTCGATTCATTCCTCGAGGTCAAATACTATTTATGATGGGTATCAGGGGTATTTCCGTATGTAGTTACAGCTTGGAAGCATTGCCTCATATACTTGAAACACTTTCACTTGTGTTAAAAGGAAATTGATCATCAAGAGCCACGTGATAAAGTGCTGTTTGGTTAGCCAACTGAGAGCCTTCAAAAACAATTCGAGTCATCTTTCAAACAGCACTTTGGACTGCAGGCTCAAGATCTTTATCTTCAAGGAATCTTTCCAGTCCAGTTTTTATTGTGCATTGTTTGTATTTTGTGCCTTTTTCCTGAACGGATTTAGATGCAGAATGACTTTGAAATTCAAAATGGTTGCTTGAAGAACGCGAATGATTCAGTCCTTTACAAGTTAGACAATGACGTTCTAGATATTTAAAAAAAAAATATTCGAGTGTTATTCCTAAAAAATAGAGGCAGATAAATGGTAAATATTTACTTGGTTTTTTTTGTTGTTCTTTTTTTATGTCCTCGCTTGCCTTTCTTTTAGCTGCATTTTTAGAAGATTCCGCATTTGGTATATTAATATTTTTGTGTTTTTTTGTGGGAATCTCTACTTTGTCACTTTTCGTTTACTTGATTCCTGATTCCCTGCCATTTGTATGTACTAACGTTGAAATGATGATGGTGTTTGAATTAAAGCAGAATTGACAAAGTTCTTTAAATAAGAAATTTTTCTTTTATTTTTATTTTTTTGATTTCCTATAATGTATGATGACATTATTATATTATTATTTGTCAAAGGATTTTATTTTTAATTTCATTCTCTTTTGATGGCTTGGTATTTGAGCCTTAACCATTCTTGTTCTTGGTTCATACTCACTCAGGATTGGGGATAACCTTGCCGGCTACTACCATTTTATTGACAAATATAGAAAAAACGTAAATCATTCTTCCAAAATTATACTAACGAAACAAAAAAATTTCAAGGGAAAAAGGCAGTGTTACGAGTTTTGTATTGTGTTGAAAGAATAGAGATACTAACTCCGAGTTAAGTTTAGAGAAATAGGACAATAAAGCAATAGAGACTTTTTTTTATTTTAAGCTAGAAAATAAAAGTAAAAGTTGTGAATATATATCCTCCCTCTTATAGATATCTTCATGGTGGTGTAGTAATATTAGCCGAAAGAAAGTGGATTCGAAAATTTTCTGCTAAAGTTGAAATACCCTTCATGGTTATGGACTGCCATGTAACATTTACAAAACATCTAACATTAGAGCAACCAGAGCAAAAACAATCCAAAAAAAAAAAATGGTGTTGAATCAATATATTGATAGTAAAAATAATTTTTGAAAAAGAGGTAATGGCAACAATTTTACCCCTATTTTATATCTAAATAATTTATTAATTGGTTTTTTTTTTTTTTACAAATTTAAGATGGATAGCTTTGGAGGGTCTAAACATTAAGGTGATGTGTGTGTGTTTATTATGTATAAATAAATGATTTTTTAATCTAAAAAAAATTGTTTATTTTTGTTTTCCTGAATATAGAGGTGAATCTTCAGCAATTGTATACTCCTTTCCACCAACTGTTGCATTACCGCCTTGAACTCCGAATGTTGTTACAGCTCCACAACTATTCTCATCAGATCTTAATGTTTGCCAAGAAATTCCATTTGCTATTTTATATATTAAAAAGATTTAAATTTAAATTTTTCAAAATAACTTATTTATCATCAAATAACTTACCTTTCTTTAATTTAATTTCAACCTTGGTAGATAAATATTCAAATTTGGATTTTTCAGGATCTATTTTTTCATATAATGGATAAATTTCCTTGAATATTTTACTATCAGAGAATCTCAAGTCAACAATTAACTATAAATTTTTTAAAATTATTTCAGAATCACAATAATAATAATAATAATAATAATAATAATAATAATAATAATAATAATAATAATCACAGTAGTAATAATAATAATAATAATAAACAATTATCTACCTCTTGTGATTGGAAATTTATAGTAGATTTTTGTTTATCAATCTTTTTTGCAAATATAGACATTATCACATTTGTTGGTGTTTGATACCTATAATAATATATTATTATTGTTATTACTTTCAATTTTAATATATACATATTTTCTGAATATTAATCATACCAATCATTTCGACAATTAACACGTTCTTCTATGTTGGTCTAAATTAATCAAATAAAAAAATACAAGATGTAAATATTTTACTTTACTTTTTTAAAAAAATTCTAATGATTGAAAAAGACATACATTTCCAACAAACAAATGTTTTCCTTTTTTACATCCTTTTATTTTCAAAAATTCTTCAAATTCTAAAACTTTACGAGTGCAACAACTCCAACCTAACAACAATGACATGTATAATTATCTCAAAAAGAAAAAAAATCAATTAATAATCTATATTGTGAGTGAATTTTTATTACCTTTACTTCCTTCATGAAAAGTTGCTGTACCAGGATGATAGATACATTCTGCTTCTGGACCTTCTCCACGGCTTGTTTTTTCATCAATGTATTTTTTACCACAACCTGATCTTTTACAAACAGTACCAACAGTAACAGGAATATTTGGATCATCATCTTCTGGTTCTTCGACTATCATTTGTTGTGGCTTGGTTTTTTCACTACTTGGTATTGTTGCGTTTGTAATTTTGGCATTTACCTCTTTTGATTGAACAAAAGGAATTTTTGGTCCAGAATATACTTCAACTCCTTCTCCTTCTCCTTCAGCTCTCATTGGTTCCTTATTATTGTTATCAATTAAATCATTTTTTGACAAGTCTGTGCTTGAAGGTGAAGGTTGTTGAATTTGATCAGTGTGTTGGCTAATAAAATAATTTGAATAAATAAAATAAATATTCAAGGAAAAACAAGGTTCAAATCAACAAAAAAATTTTTTTAGAAACATTAATCTTTAATTACCCTTTGGTGCATCCTGGAATAATAAGAAATTCATCAAATGATGTTACCCTTCGGTCACAACATTGCCATCCTTTTAAACCTTTGTTTTATTGTTTTTTTTTAATAATGATTTATGAAAATGTTGAAAAAATTTACAATCATCAGTTTTTACCTTCGTGAAATATTGGAGGTTTAGGATGGTAAAGGCATGCATTATCATTATTTTCTTCTTCAGTATAAGTTTTTTTACAACCTTCATGAACACACACTGGCATTTTTAACTTATTTTAAATTACAAAGTAGAAAAAAAATTTTATATATAAAGAGGGAAGTTAATTGTCGAGAAAATACTAGAACAATCTCTTCGACAAAAACCTGTATAATTGACAAACATTACACTGCATTAAAGTTGCAATTATGGATCACGGGAAAATCAATAAAACACAGAAATATTGATCAAGAGTCCAATTCGATAAAGTGTTACTCAATCAATGTAATAAACCAATAAAATAATTAACTCACTGAAATTATCAAGAAAGATTATTCTAAAAAATAACTTGAAAATATGTGGAAGGTTCAAATTATGTTCAAGGAATACATTTAACAAACCAAGAGTTCTTGGAAATCAGATAACTAGATGGGTTGAACCTTTAACATGTATAAATAATGTTAATTTCATGTATCATTGTTATCATCATAAAAAATCTTTAACAATAATCATTTAATAAATAACAAACTGTTGAACTTGTCCTTATCCTTGTTGTTGTCTTTGTTGTCTTCAAATTTTTTATTTTTTCCCCAATTACTATCTTACCAGGGGGACAGACTCCTATACTAAGTGTAGTTGTATATGTTTATTTCTTTTCTTTTATTCTAGAAATAGGCCTTAGGAAGGTAACTGGGATCAGAAGGAACCTAGGTAAGGCCAGAAGATACTAGGCCAGTAATATTAAGAAAAGCCCAAAGGTACAAGGCTAAAGATATTAAGAATTTGGATGTTCCTGGCAAGAGTTTCTGCTGGAAAATTGTGATCAGGGGGTAGTTGGAATAATTTGCCAAAAATTATTATGGTGCGCGAAGTCTATAACCACCATTTACTGTGCCACACTGCCAAATTTCACCAAAAACTCAAAAACCAAAATT